AACTGAAGGATGAAGTGTTCCTTTATGTGTTGATGCTGAGTGTTTTTTTATTTTGAACAATGCTCCATCAGGGCCGATGGCGAGCGCCCAGGACCTGACTGAGGATGAGGAGGCTGAGGCCGTGGATGAAGATGTCGTGGATGACGTGACGGACGAGGACGACGAGGCTGAAGTGGAAGACGATGAGAACGTAGAGCTGGTGAGATAAAAAATAATAATAATCGCATCATTAGGATGATTCTGTCTCTTTTTAAACATTATTCATCTGTTGTTATGCTGGAGGGATTTAATGTAACATGTGGATTATGTAGTTAATATGAATATTTATTGTTATTTTTCTGTGTTTAAAAATGCTTTTTTGTTTCTAATTATAGTTTTAAAAGTCAACAGACAGGAAGTTTGACACTTTGTCTTGAAGCAAAAACTCTGCTAATATGAGGATTTTTAGCCTTTTCTATGAGTTTCAAATTAAATGTGTTTTTAACCGGCAGACAAAAACTGTTTCACTCTTCTCCTTCTTCTCCTACTACTTCCCCTTCAACTTCTTCTTCTCGTCGTCGTTGCCGTCCTCCTCCTCCTTTTCTAGCGTTTTCTAAACTCAAAAAGTTCAAATTCTTTTCTTATTAAAGTCCCGGTAGCTCTTTAAAGTCGTATCAGGAAGCTGATGACCTTTTTATTTTAAGCACATTTAGCTTATTTAGTAGAGTTAAAAACATCTGGTTCTGTTTCTTGAGGGAAGGAAAACGATGTGAACGAGTGAGGACATAACCTCACATAAAGCTCCTGTTGAAGTTAAACTTGTGTTTGTTTGTAGACGGAAGAAAAAGAAGAAGAAGAAGAGGAAGCGTTGGTTGGAGAAGTGAAGGCTTCTCCCAACGCTGACACCACCATCCTCTTCGTCAAAGGAGACGGTAAGAACTCTTTTCCTCTGAAGAGAAGTATACGAGCTGGTCGAATCCTCTAAATGCAGAGGAAAGGTGCCTCAATGCCTCCTTTCTTATCTCCTGAAGCAAAGGAAACACTGGGCCTTCCTTAATGAAAGGAGATGATGCCGCCCCACAATTTAATTTAAATTCCAACCTTTGGAATGAAGTTTAAGATCATCTTTGACCACAGCTCTGGTGAAACGAGACGTCACTAAAGAAAACGCAATATTTCAGACAACAGAATGAACTCTTCTTTTCCTTCTCCACCTTCTTCATCTTCTTCTTCAGACTTCCCTGCCAACGAGATCGTGAAGTTCCTCCTCGGTTTCTCCAACAAAGGACCAGAGAACTTCGTAGTTGAGTCTCTGGACGCCTCCTTCCGTTACCCACAGGTAGGTCCTCCTCCAACCACGACCTTTAACCTCTCAGGACAACCAATCGGTGTTTATTAAAGCAACAGGAGGAGAGCTAGCAACGTTAGCAGCACCGCTAACGGCTAACCAACGGAGGTTCACTTCAGTTACATTATGATGCCTTCAGGCTCTGCTCAGTGAACATGAGTACTGGCTGAAGGTACATTATAACGTTATCATGATGTGTTCACATGTCATCTGTAAAATGTAGTTTTGGTGATGAACTAGAATGAATCCAGTAGTTTGAAGGAGATGTGTTCACGTTAATGTAAATAGATATTAGAGATGAATTATGAGCTGTTTACCTTCATAACACGAGCTCTAACAACATTATTATACTTCTAATAGATCAATTAAAATAAAATCGTTTTCTTCCTAATCATTTCAATTGTGTGTTTTTATGCAAAAATACTATAAAGGACTTAAACAAAGTAAAAGGAAACAGTTGATGATAACAGATATTTTAGTCAAGTAGCTATAAACCTGTTCCAGATTATAGTAAACATGAATAAAAAGTGATATTATCAACATTTCATATTTTGACTTCTCTATTCGTGAGTTGAGCGCTCCAGGTAAGAATCTTCTTCTTCTACCTTTCTCCTTCTTTCTCCCCTCCTCCTCTCTAACTGTAACTCCTCCTCTCAGGATTACCAGTTCTACATCCAGAACTTCACGGCCCTCCAGCTCGGCATCGTGGTCCCGGCCTCCAAACAGGCGACCTTTGAGTACTCCTTCATCCCAGCGGAGCCGATGGGGGGGCGGCCGTTCGGACTCGTCATCAACCTCAACTACAAGGACGGAAACGTAAGAAGTGCCAGCTTCTAGCTTATTATTGTGTATTATCTCTAGCTGCTACTAATAGTAGATAACGTAAGAAGTACCGACTCAGTCCTCCGACATGTGAATCAGTGAACTATTCACGTCTCATCTTCACGTCCGAAAGGCTCTGCAGGACGGAGCTTACAGTCTCGTTTTAACCCTTTCACAGCATCATTTATTCCTTCAGAGTTGATGAAACGTGTCGATTGTGGAGTTCTAATCTGTATTTGTTGCGTTTCCTCTTTTCTTTCTGTAGGGAAACGTTTTCCAGGACGCCGTGTTCAACCAGACGGTCACCGTCACAGAGCGAGAGGATGGACTAGACGGAGAGACGTAAGCGATTGCATCGTATTTATTTAATTGTTCTGCGTCTCTGCCGTCGTTTATTCCTCCGTCTCCGTCTCTCAGGATCTTCTTGTACGTCTTCCTGTCGGGCCTCGGGCTGCTGGTGGTCGTCGGTCTTCACCAGCTGATGGAGTCCAGAAAGGTACGAATATTTAAAACACAAACAAACAAACACTGGACCCTCTGTATCTGGAAAATCAGTCACAACAGTGAAAGAAAATGATCATTTATCTGTGAAAAATACAAAACATTCACCTTTTTAAATAACTCTGTGAAGCTCAAGCTGTTGGTCTCAGATGAATCAATCATGACTTCATAGTTTCACAATTTAATTTTTCTACACAATCTGGTTAAAGTGAACGCTTTATTAGAGGAGACATTTATAATGACAACATGAAGAATAAAATGTTTTTTGTTTCTGAGGGAAGTGTTTGTTGCCTATGATGAGTTCAAGGACCGTCGGAAAGATGAAAATCAATGAACCGATAGTGTCGTTTATTTACAGCTTCTGGTTGTGATACACGGTGTAGTTTTATAGACTAAATGATGAATTATTATTTCTACCGGTATTTTCTCAGAGGAGACGTCCAGCTGCAAAGGTGGAGATGGGAACTTCAAGTCACAACGATGTCGACCTCAGCTGGATCCCTCAGGAGACACTCAACCAGATCAGTAGGTCACTCTAACTCACTCCTCTAACTCACTCCTCACACACTCTACATCCTCCTCTACACTCTCCTTCTCGCTCGCTCTCTCTCGCTCTTCGTCTCTCACTCCACTATCTTCAGACAGTATTTTGAACAGAAGTTCATCATTTATAACTGAGCTAGTTGGCTCGTGTTGTGATAAATTCTCCTCACTTGACGATGATGAACCGTTTTTCCTCTTTTATCTCGTTGATGTTTTTCTCTCCTCACAGAATCAGCTGTTTGTTCCTCTTCCTGTTTCACCTTTAACCTCACTGTGCATGAGGTCACTCACTCTCTGTTTCCTCTCTCCTCCTTCCTCGCTGTCATGTTTACCTCTTCAGTGCAGAGTCGCAGAGGTGAGGTCTGCTCTGTGTGTGTGTGTGTGTGTGTGTGTGTGTGTGTGTGTGTGTGTGTTTATGGGTAGGAGTGTGTATGTGTAAATGCAGTGCTGATGTTTCTCACTTTTGCAAATGGAGCTTCTTAGCGGTACAGATGCTTTGAAAGTGTTTCATTAAATGTTGTGGTGAAGCGTTGAGGCCACTCTGAGGCGTGTGTGTGTGTTTGTTTTACTCAGCGTTTCTCTTCTTTCTCTCTCAGACAAAGCGTCTCCAAAAAGATCTCCTCGCAAGAGGAACCAGAAACGCTCAGCCGGCTCGGACGAGTGACGGGCGCCATGAACACACGGTGGTGAAACCATACCACCGGTGAAGGAGGAGGAAGATGATGAGGAGGAGGAGGAGGAGGAGGAGGAGGAGGAGGGCCACACTCTGTCCTCTCTACTGAAAAACTTTAACCAGTGCCAAGCACAGCAACGGCTGGCTCTCTACTTAAAGCTTAGAAACTGTTGCACACACACACACACACACACACACACACAGTGTGAAACGGTTCGTCCTGTTTTGGGTTCAAACGGCACATTTTTCTCTAAAGATTGTTGGTTTTTCTTTAGATGATATTTAGTTTGTTGAAGCTGATCATGTGATCGTTGTTTGTTTACGTCCCTCTCTGGTGTAGAGCTGCAACTAAACTAAGAGTAGAAAATCAATTAAGTCAAAGAACAATGAGCCAAAACATGTGAAATGTCTCCGTTCCCTCTTCTATTGTTCTGATAAGGTCTTCAACTGAACATCTTTGACTTTAGAACGTAATAATAATCTGAAGAAGTCGTGTTCTCTACAGATGATCAAACGTTATGCAGACGACTTGATGCTGGACGTTGCAGCTCCACTCTTGTGAGTGAAGGAGACTCTTTGACTTGTTTTTATCTCTTAGTTATTCTGCTGTCGCTTCTCTCATTTCACCGTCTGGTTAGAACGTCCTTGCAGACTTTATTAAACAGACGTGTAGCGGAGTCGAGTCTTCGTCCTGCAGACGGCAGGAGGGCACTTTGTACGTGGAAGTAAGTTAAACATGGAGGCGGCTTGCAGGAGCTTCCACAGTGTTGTAGACTTCTATCATAATCGTTGTTGTGGACGGGAAAAACAAGCAATTTAAATTCAGGCTGGGTGTGAATCTAAAGACCTTTTATTCCCTGAGGTCGTGAGCGGAGATCAACCGGCCCTTTAAACCCTGAGCTCATCATCACGACGCCTCGCCGCGTGCCTGTTTTTCTACTTCTCTTGTCTGTAAAATGTCCAAACTTCTGTTTTCTCTTCAAAATCAGAGCGACAATAATTTGAGTCTTTTTTGTTTTCTTTGAATTGTGAAAACTGGCTGAAGCACTGGTGTAAATACTGTCTGATGGATGAGAGCAGAACTTACTGAGCTAATTTATTTGAGTGACAGATTGGGTTTAAACAAGGGGCGGGGCGGGAGCGGGTGTTTGTGCACTGTTTTTTTTATTTCACCACTAGGGGGCGACACCGACTCGCTCTAGGACTCGGTTCTAGAGTTTAGTCCTTTTTAAAGCTCTGTCTCTGAGAGGAGTCCACCTGTAGCTGCGTGTCGGACTCTTAAAGCTGCAGAACACACCTGAGTCTCCAGGGGGCGGAGCTTAAGTCTCTCGTACTAAAATAAACGGGGCTGTCATTCAGAGAAACGTACTAATACTTTTTATTTGCTTTTAAATGTGCAGGAAATAAACTTTGATGATTTGCTGTCGGCTCAGTTTCTATTTGTTTCTGCTCATTTTAATCCGATTTCACTGGAACTCGATGTTACAAACTGTTAATAAATCACATTACGCTGCAAGTAGAGCTGAAAGAATCAGGTGATGAAGATCTTGATCAATCGTCACTTTTAATTCAGACATGTCAAACATGATTTTAGCTCCTCACAGGTGATGTGCTTGTTTAACGTTTTAACATCTAGGTATTGAATTGTTCGTCGGGCAAAATGTGGAATTTGTAGGTTTTCAGGGGCGGAGGTGTGAACACACCACGACCACACAAACACGTCATGAGTGCTGCCCCCAGAAAGACGTGTGTGTGTGTGTGTGTGTGTGTGTGTGTGTGTGTGTGTGTGTGTGTGTCCTATCGCTGTAGTTGGAGCCCAGTGAACCTGCTGTTGTCCGGCTCTTGTACTGTAAATGGTGCAATTTCTGGGAGCTTTTTATATATTTATCTTATCAGTTTTTATTACTGTTCACGCCTTCATCATATTGGCAGTGACTACAGAGAGACAAGAGAGAGGGCGTTAGTGTTCCCGTGCACTCTTGTGTACAAATCCAGGAGGAAGAGTAGGGTTAGGGTTAACCCTAACCCAACAAAAACAGCTCCAGGATGCCAAGCCACTCACATTAGAAGAGATGATTATGGACTCCAATACAAAAGTTGATTTCCACATACTTACGACAATTAAGACTTAAAAAACAATTCAAAGATTTTCAAAAGCAGCTCAAAAACAGACGCCTCCCCTCCTCCCCTCTCCTCTCCTTGACTACTGACAAAAGGACGGTAAAGTTAGGACACAAGAATACTTTGGCTCCTGTGTCATTAAAACCCCACCCCACCACTCAGCCCAGGGACCCTGAGGCCAGGGCCATATCAAAGAACAATCGCTTCCCCCTCAAAAAGCCAGAGAGTGCTTCTAAGGGGTTTCTGACGGTTAGCCCCTCCCACCCATCTCCAAAGTCCAGTGTTGTGGAGTTAAAATCACGCCACTTCCTCCACATTGTCCTAGGTTGTGAGCCTGGGGCCTTACTGAGTAAGTTTAGGTTGATCAAACTGAGGGAACGTCAGGCTGTGAGAGTGATTCCAACAGCCCCAAGGGTCCTTCACTCTTTCCTCTTTCCTTCACTCTCTCCTCTCTCCTTTCTTCTCTCCTCTCTCCTTCACTCTCTCCTTCCCCCCCTCTCTCTCTCTCTCCRTCCGCGTGCATGGGGCGATCAAGCGTCGGGGACGATGAGAGTCCGGTCGGTCAGTCCTACYGACCGACCTACAGACGCACCGACACGCAGCCGAACACTCCGGTCTGACGGGACTAACTTCTCACTTCATTTCTCCAAAAGGTAAAAAAACATCAAAGAAAACAAAAGCAACAGCTGGAGCTGCACGAGGAGAGGACTTTTATTTTGAAAGCGCGTGTGTGGCTCTTGTTAATCATCACACCTGAGAAGGAGGAGAAGAAATAAAAACATCAGTTAGTGTTTCCTCTCTGAGGTGAAGGAGAGTTTTACCGGATCACCGGAGGATTAACGGAAGCTGGAGCCTCCGGAGGAGTAAAGAAGTTGGGAAGATGTCGGAGGAAGCGGAGCAGACGGAGTGAAGCTGCCCGGTGCGCACGTTCCTCTCTCCGGCTGGACTGAAGCGCGCCTGCCGCTCCTCATCACCACCACCAGCACCATCATCACCACCATCACCACCACCACCACCACCATCATCATCATCGCTCTGCTTGGATGTAAAAAACCCAAAACAAGCTTCTTCCTCCAAGATCTTCTTCAAACACTTTTACGCGGAGTTCCTGCGCTCATGGAGCGGCCACCTCGCGCCTCCTCTCCGGATGGGATGCGTCAGCTGTGATGCTGATGGTGTGACATAAAAGAAACTCAAAAAACAGCACAAAAACTAATCCGCAGTTTTTCCAACGCAGGAGTTTCACATGTGAGTACATTCTTTATTACTGCGTAAAGGCTTCTGGGGATGTGAACTCTGACCTCTTTCGTGGATCCTGACAAGACAAAAGCACCTGCGACACTGAGTCTACATCACGCCTGTTAAGCAGAAATATACATTTTTTAATTTATCTCCAAACACAACACAACTTCCATCAGTTCGGCACCAAATGTCAGAATGTTTCCGCTCAACATGAAGATGGAACTACGTTTAAAACTCGTGTTTCTGCGCAAAGGCATCAGAAAATGATGCCAGTGAAGCAAATCCAATTAAGAAAAGCGCTGATTTACACACAACCTCTACAATCACACAACTCTTCGCGTTGCCGATGATCGCTGACACGCTGTGTGAATAGTTGTTGGGAGCGCAGACTCAGTTGTGTCCTGAAAACACGCACTTTAAAGCGCATCTCGTGTTTTCAGCTTCTTTCTGCCTCCAGAGGCTCAGTTTCCTCTGTTCCTATGCAACACAGCGCTCTGTCTCAGCCGAGCCGAGCCGAGCCGTGCCCCCACTTTCCATTCATTAAGCGGCTCAGTTCATGTAATAAGAAGAGGAAACATTTATTTACCTCTTTTCTTCTTTGGTACAAAACTGTAATATTTTAATCTAGAAGTGCGCAAAAAGAACCCTTTTCTATAATCGATCCTTTATTGCAGACTTTAATATTGCTCTGGTGGCTGAGCACAGATGTGTAGATGGATTTACAGTAACTACATAAGATTTAAACGTGTTTGTATCGCTGTAAAAATACACAAAATCCCTCTAATATTCATACGTTTGGTTGCTGTTTTTATATTACAGAAGTATTCTTAAGTGCATCATATTTGCGTTATGATATAAGTACATCATCTGTGTGAGCGTGTTGGTCTCTGGTGCATTTCATCTCCTGTGATATTCCTCTGGTACTGGTTGGACTCTCTGAGTGTTCACACGGAGAAACCGGTTGAATCTGTCTTCTATACCTTTGTTCTAATGATGCAATGGGTTTGGATTTTTTGCATCGAAAGTTTTGTCGCTTCAGGAACGTTAGTAGAGATATTTAGATTATTTATTTATTCAACGACAGAATATCTGTTGGCTGGAGCTTCCTGGTGACTTCTGGTCTTCAGGCTTCTGGATGAATCCGTCACATTCTGCTCACAGACCAAACCAAACAGCTTCTGAAATCTCTTCTTTCTTTCTCCCGTACGTCATTTAAATGACTCAAAAATACATATGGTCTCATAATGATGTCTTATATTCCTGCCATTACGGTAAAAACTCAAACCTGCATCAACATTAGTTGTGTTTTTTAAAAGGTAGTCGACTCTGAAGTGTCCTTGACAGAAGTCCTCAAGCTGTTGTTACCTTTAACCTCAGTGAGCAGCGATATACCTCTAAAAAATAATGCGTCATAGATATCAGCAACATCCAGGTCTTTAAAGAGTCAAAGCTTCATGTGTTAAAGCTGCATTCTCTCTAGTGTCCA